GCGATGACGTGGCGTGGGGCTGGGCAGCCACGGGCACACACAGGTTTGGTGCAGCATAGCCCCTCGCCAGCCCCAAGGGCTCCCTGGGGTGCCTGCGTGGGGCTGAGGAAACATGCCCTTGGGCAGGCATTGCAACGGCATGCCAGCCAGGCCCCTGCTCTGCCAACCACAGAGGGCCTGATCCTGCTGGAGCCAAGCTCTGCTGCTGCGCATGGTGGCATCGGGGTGCCAAACCTTCCCTTCCCCCCTCCCTCCCTCCCCAGCAGCTCCTGCCCGCACCCACGGCCTGAAGTTGCCTCAGGACAACACCAACCACCAGAGGTTTAGCAAACCACCGTCTGGATGGACTGATGCCCACAGGACAGCATATCCCATGCTGTTCAGGACACCAGGTTCCAAGCCAGGTGAGTTCAATGCAGTAAGAACAGATGACAGCCAGGGCTCTGAGCACTCAGTGCCTTTCACACATTGCCCCAGCATGGAGTTTTTTTATTTTATTTTTTTCTTTTCTTAAAACAGAAAATACCAAGCTCCAAAGTCAACCAGTCAATCCTGAGTGGGCCAGGGCTGCTTCTTATAGATGGGGAAACTGAGGCACAAGGAAAGCACCAGGAACTGAACTGGCAGCAAGCCCTGCTGGGATCCAAGCATGCCACAGGGCACTTGCAGGACCGCAGACCTGCTGCAGTAGGATCCTTCCACACAGAGAAGGTCCAGGTGCAGGGCGCTCAGGCAGCGTGGCTGTACCAGCACCCCAGCCCTCAGCACAGCTCTGCCAGTACTGCCTCCCAGACAGAGGAGCCCCAGGACCCAAGAGGCACTCTGGCGCCCAGCACGCCCCTGCCATCTAAGCTGCAGCATCACACCACAGCCCATCACCTCCACCTGCTCAGAGAGGCTTCACCAGTGCCCTGCTAAACCCCACGGCCACATCCACCCCCCCAGCATCGCTTCGGGACCAGCCTGCACCGCTCAGGGGAAGTCAGCCAGCACACGCGTGCCACAGGGCACCACACATTCTCGCCAGCCGAAGGGGTGTGGGTGTGCCAGGAACTCCCTGGGGCAGGCAGGACACCTGGGAAGGGGCAGTAAGGAGAGGCTGGAGCCCAGAGACAAGCAGAGATCAGCGATGCAGTGCTCCCAAGCCCTGGGAATGCAGGATAACTGCCCAGCTCCACGCTGTGGTTTTACACAAGAAAAAACAAAGCGATGAGGTTTTCCAGTCCCCAAAGTGCCTTGTTTTGTCCGACTTTGAGAAGCCTTTGCGCTTCAACCCCTCAAGGGGCAGGGGGAGGACCCTAGCACTGAAAC